CTCAGCGGCTAACAGAGGTGTGCCCGTTTCGCGTACTCGGGTATCAACGGGTGTCCAACTAAGTAGAAACGCTTCCGCTAGAGGGCTGAACACAATACCCAGCTCGGCATATCCATGGCAGTCAGGCACAAGTTTGTATTACTGTTGTATTGCAATCAATAATGATAATGATGGCCGCAGCGGATTCCGGGTCACCACAGCCGCACAAGAACAAGTCGTCACATTTGTCCCAACCCGCAACATGGAGGACCAGAAGACTATGTTGTTCACAGCTTTGACCGTTTGCTAACCTTGTATGGGAGGCTCTGCGAGTGTCGCACGGATGTCCTCCACCAAAAAGGAATACTGGGGATTCACTGCCGTACAATCACGTCAATTTATTTGAATAAAGCTTCATAATGGTAAGGCAGAATGGGGGACGGAGATGGCCTTAAGCGTTAGTCTACAGCAAACATCCCGATTTGGATATGAGCATTCCATAGTAACATGGGTACCGGCTTCCATACTGCGGTTTGAATTCGGCATGGAGGACGCAAGTCCGAAGGTATCAGACAGGATTCCGACAAGGTAAAGGGGGCGTCAATCACATCGTTACATCCTGTCAAGCGCCTGAAATGTGCCACGCAAACCAGTCGACCAACAAACACTGTAAGTGAATTTTTGCCATGTTGGATAATGCCGCCTCTCCTAATTATATTTGACCAAAGTGGGTGCTGCATGGGGCTTCAAGTCTTTAATTATACCTCACACCCTTAATTCCCCAGTTTCCAGAAAGTTTGAATGTAAAGTGAGTTGTCAAGAAACTTCCACACGATAAGGGGAAATTGTTTTGGTTGCCAATTCGTAACCAAAGTCATCGAGTGCAAACGAAACTGGGTATCGAAATAACGTGTGAAAAGAGGACCAGTGGATTTGGGCATCAACTTCTCCAGCTGTAAAGATAATGCACATGTTGTGGTTATGCCTGCCACAGTTTCTTTCGGGGTGAAATGGTTCAGTGGCTAGAGCGCGAATTTACTGACCTAAAGGTCCGTGTTTCGAACCAGACCTCTGCCTCTCGACCTTCCCTGTTTATAAAAAATAAATAAATCGTTCAGCTGTAGCCCCCTTTTGGTGCCTACCTGCCATGCCACACGAAGGAGGCACGAGGGCTGGGATACTGCCAGGTTGTCCAAGCCTAGACAGAGGAAGTCGAGAGGCAGAGGTCGAGGTCGAACCACGAACCTTCCGCTCAGTAAATTTGCGCTCTAACCACTTGGGCCATGTCGTTTCAAGTAGAGTATAAGGTTGACGGGAACTCGGGGACCGCGCCTATCCGATGAGCCCCTAGAAGGGCGAAACAGGTCGAGGATTGTCGAAGAATTTTCAGCAACCATACGAATAGTGTATTACATCTTTATTGGTTAGCGTTTTCATAATCCGTCGCCAGGTCATACAGTGTCCACCTCTCGGTCGCTTTCACTCAGCACAGGGCTGGGCAAAATGAGCTCTGCGAGGCAGACAGTCTTTTGGAAATCATTCCGAGTGCCTACACCTTCAGACACTCATCCAGGCAATTTGAACAGAAATTGATAACAGGGACACCGGTGACATCGATTACAGCCATCGATTACTGCTTGCACCACTTTGAATTCGGTGGGGAAAGCATCACTCTCTTCGGCATGCACAACACATGGGCTAACAAATATAACTTCTGGTGCTCGACATGTTCTCCAGTGGAAATTCCCGTTGCACAACCGAACACTCGCTTTCTAACTGTCTTGTTACGGATTTACCGGCACTAGCCTCCACGAACTACGGTTCTGAGACAACTGGTGTCGAAGACCTGAAGACGTACCCGTTCCGCCGCTCGAGGAGGATGCGTCTCACAACCGTACTACAAAACAGTTCACACCAGTTTGATACGCACGTCACTTGAGATTCAGAGATGTGCCACTTGATCGTTTTGCATAGCTTAAATTGGCAACCATGATCCAAACTGTAAGTGAGCTGGATGGCTTTGGAGGAACCGACTCTATACATCCGGTCCTACAATCTGGTGTCACGATCCTAGTCTTTCCAGTTAGATAGAGATGGATAAACGTCCATCTCGATCTCGTCTCCCTCCTGCAACCAGAGAAAGACCGCTTACTTGGCATTATCTTAAAATGTACACCATATAACTTTGCATCATCTAAGAGGAATCTACTTAACATCAGAGAATAAGCCAGCATAGCGGCCTTCTGCTACGGATAACCTCCGATATGTTCCAATAGTTGATTTCTTTCAGACGGCCAAGGTTTCTCAACTGGTAAGTTATGTCCCTCCAAAATCCATTCACGTACACTCTTTATTCACCTCGAGTAATGCAACTATCTTGGCTTTCCTGGCTCGAAAGTGGACGATGTACTGCTGGCGAACGTCCAGTGTCGGGCTATCAGTCATCCTCCCAACCTATTCCATTAAAGTGTTAACGTCTTAAAAATGCCTGGAAGTTTAACCCCAATATGGTGTAATGTTTACTCTCCCGTACAGTACTCGGCTGAATGGATTCGTGGCATTGCATAGTACGATTGTTGAACCAAACGACCAAGACGGGGAATGTTGTATAGGAAAGGCCCAAGAGAACTCAAAGCTGAACCCAGATTGTCTATCCATGAGTTTGGATCTGGAAGGGGAGTATAATGAATTCTGCATGTGGTGAATTCTACTGGCAATGCCTTTAGCAACCAGGAGTAGAGAGTCGCACATGGTCTGATTGTTAATTACGTCCACGCAAGTTCCTAAAATTGAAAGTCCATACAATGTGGATATGAGCGACCGGTCGCAAATGAACGTGTGATTCGCTTAGACACGTCTAGTTGTAGCTGCTGGAACCAGTGTAATTCGGTGCGCGGTTTGTGAGCGGACAAACTGAATTGACTGAACTCAGATACTTATAAGGATGAACACGACTCGGTCCAGTTGGGTTCTTACGAAAGGATGGACGGGCTGATGCTATTACCACAACCTCGGAAACCATTTTTCGTTAGTTCGTCACATACAAATCGAACCTGCACGATAAATACCTCATTTTCAACCGTATAGTTATACATAGCCGCTGGATGGCGCTTTAGGTATCACTGATTTGTGTCAAGTACACTCCCATCACATGCATGTAGAGACCGTGTAAGGCGCCCTTAGGTCTGAACCACGACCACCAGGTTCGAGCCATTACCTCTGAGCTATTCCGAGATCACGGTTGTCCGGATAAGCCTGCATGTGTCTGACCCATCCATGGGTCTTTTATATTCAAAGTTCTCTCTTCCGCATTTAAACATGCACTCCACCCCAACCATTACCTTAACCCACTGCAATAATATCTTTTGTGTTTCCCGTACCAAACGACACCCACTAAGATGAACATCCTACTTCTGTTCCGGCTTTTACTACACTTGCACCAAGGAACCGAAGTTGTGATGCAGCGACCTGGAGTCATGAACCTCCGGTTCATGGCTCTCAAGCGAACCCAGCGGATGACATTAAAGACAACATAAAAGACAACGGCAATACACCTCACCTGTAAGCGCCCGTCAAGAGAACGGGGAATAGTAACGCATCGGGTTGATGGGTCCTGACTCGCCAGTGCCCTTTCAAGTTCATCCAGTTGATTTCCGTTTTTTAGTCGTTTAACGAGTGATTTCACAGCCTTTTCTTTCCATTTTTCCTCCTTGTCTGAGCCCTCTTTGATGTAGCTAATGAGGCGCTTGACTACAGGAGGTGGGCTTGTGAATAGGCTCATTTTCGGCGAACAATAAAATCCAAAAAAGTCAAGTAACTGAAGTGATCACATTAAAAATGAAAGGACGACAACGCCCAACGATAAGAAATCGAAAGCCGCCGGCGGGCAATCTGAAGGACAAGTCATTGACCTTGAGAGATAGAGTGGGTGTAACCCGGATTTAACGGATTCACACATTCGGCTTTCGCCTAAACTTCACAAGTCGGGCTTGTTCTTATCGCTAACCGGCTTCTGTTCACCTGAGATGGACAAACGAAAAGTGGTGTAGCTCTTTAAGTTCTCAGCGCGAGGAAGCAAGCGTACCAGCGTGAGGACTAAAGTTAAAAGGCATTTAAAAGGGCTTTGAACTGGATACTAAATGCAGCGTGAACAACCGTCGGAAGAGGGTTATTCCAAATGAACCTTGACAGACGCCATCAGCATTCAGAACCGATTTAGAACCAGCTTCGTTGGTTTCAAATCATTTTTTGATCTCTCAGTAAGCTGCCAAATCCGGAAAGTTACCATTAGCCATCACAAAATTTCGGCCTGAGTACACCGGTTTCGGTGTAGCTGCTGGAACCAGTGTAATTCGGTGCGCGGTTTGTGAGCGGACAAACTGAATTGACTGAACTCAGATACTTATAAGGATGAACACGACTCGGTCCAGTTGGGTTCTTACGAAAGGATGGACGGGCTGATGCTATTACCACAACCTCGGAAACCATTTTTCGTTAGTTCGTCACATACAAATCGAACCTGCACGATAAATACCTCATTTTCAACCGTATAGTTATACATAGCCGCTGGATGGCGCTTTAGGTATCACTGATTTGTGTCAAGTACACTCCCATCACATGCATGTAGAGACCGTGTAAGGCGCCGGGGACTATATTTAAAAAAAGCATTACACCTTACACAAAGACGGAGAGCGACTGGATCAAACGCTTAAAAACGCTGTTATAGTGCATATAAACCAAATTAAGGTTCTATTTATTATTGAAATCCTACGGAGCATTTCATGAACTCCTGATAGGTCACAAAAGTGAAGAACCGAAAAGTTGTGGTAATAGTGATATTCGTTAACGACACCCACTAAGATGAACATCCTACTTCTGTTCCGGCTTTTACTACACTTGCACCAAGGAACCGAAGTTGTGATGCAGCGACCTGGAGTCATGAACCTCCGGTTCATGGCTCTCAAGCGAACCCAGCGGATGACATTAAAGACAACATAAAAGACAACGGCAATACACCTCACCTGTAAGCGCCCGTCAAGAGAACGGGGAATAGTAACGCATCGGGTTGATGGGTCCTGACTCGCCAGTGCCCTTTCAAGTTCATCCAGTTGATTTCCGTTTTTTAGTCGTTTAACGAGTGATTTCACAGCCTTTTCTTTCCATTTTTCCTCCTTGTCTGAGCCCTCTTTGATGTAGCTAATGAGGCGCTTGACTACAGGAGGTGGGCTTGTGAATAGGCTCATTTTCGGCGAACAATAAAATCCAAAAAAGTCAAGTAACTGAAGTGATCACATTAAAAATGAAAGGACGACAACGCCCAACGATAAGAAATCGAAAGCCGCCGGCGGGCAATCTGAAGGACAAGTCATTGACCTTGAGAGATAGAGTGGGTGTAACCCGGATTTAACGGATTCACACATTCGGCTTTCGCCTAAACTTCACAAGTCGGGCTTGTTCTTATCGCTAACCGGCTTCTGTTCACCTGAGATGGACAAACGAAAAGTGGTGTAGCTCTTTAAGTTCTCAGCGCGAGGAAGCAAGCGTACCAGCGTGAGGACTAAAGTTAAAAGGCATTTAAAAGGGCTTTGAACTGGATACTAAATGCAGCGTGAACAACCGTCGGAAGAGGGTTATTCCAAATGAACCTTGACAGACGCCATCAGCATTCAGAACCGATTTAGAACCAGCTTCGTTGGTTTCAAATCATTTTTTGATCTCTCAGTAAGCTGCCAAATCCGGAAAGTTACCATTAGCCATCACAAAATTTCGGCCAGAGTACACCGGTTTCGGCAGAGCAATAAGAGGGGCACCTTCACCTCTGTTCATCTCCATGTTGGGTTTGTTGTGCGGCGTTCTGTATCTTTATTTGGCCTCCACTATAACACTGCGTATTTCATCAGTTGCGTAATCGTTTTTTGTTTGAATACGAAAAACCACAAAAACGCGCACCTGTACAATTTCACATAATACAAGCGTGGTCACGTGCTTCGACTCTCTCTTCTGATTTCGCTCGCTTATGCAGCGGCCGTCCGCGAGTCTCATGTACTAACTCTGGTACCAAAACATTTCACACCATCTTCGGAATCTATTATATGTGGGAACTGTTCAGAAGAAGACCGCTGGACCAAAATAATTGGATTATTGTTTATTCGCTGACCTGGGCCAACGACGAACTATTTTAAAGAGAACAACTGTTAGTGAGTCTGTTCCATCTGACCTCTTTACTTTTGCATACCCAACCTAGCGTAATTATTTTTATTTCTTTGCCACACTCCTGGTAAACTAACTTTTTGGGTGGCCAGACCATTATAGTTGACATTTTAATTATGCTTGGTGGAATCACTGGTTTCAACAATGTTCGTAGGCCACAAAATTAAAGGTGTGGTCCTTTTATCGATTATGCTTGCTGCTTTGCGTCACGTGCATAGTTGGGTGGGCCACTGATCTTGAGAAATTTAGGTTCATGGGAACTGCGGTCATTCGTTCCATAGAGTGCGGAGTTAGTGTATATGTTTGCAACGCTGGACTAACAGACCACGTAAAATACGAAGATGAGTTAGTATTTCGTAAAATGCAGAACCACAGTAAATCGGAAATCCTCTGGTTGAACGTACGAAGACATGCCACCATATTGGAACTCACCCTGAAAAATAACAGAAGTGTGATGTTCAAATACAAGATTCATCGCCGCATAAAAAAAGCCACTCGCATTCTCCTTGAGCGACTGGAGCGGGAACCCACCAGGACCCAATAATGAGGCCAACAGGGCAACGGAGGAAACTATACAGGGTTATACCCAGCCCCCGCGTTCTCGTCCCCTGGGTAAAACAACGGCAAAAGGCGAAACTAGGGTGTCCTGCCTTGCACGCGGTAGCAAAGCTGCAAATTGCGGAAAATGATGGACAAAAATCCACGAATCTCTTGAAAGAGCTGTGATACTGTGAACCAGCCGGTCAATTTGAACTGAAAAATAAGACCATTGCTGGGGCTTTGTGGCCTTGGACAGTTGGGTTTATGGCCAGGTTACAAAAATCAAAGGTCCTAATCATGAAGTTGAGGAATTGGAAAACGGAACAAATGGTAGGAGAAATCTCACAATTACGGTGCACGGTGAAACAATATAGACACACTGGTATTGTTGATGATGCGAGGTAACTTATGAATTTTCCATGGGTGTTTGTCCAAGTGCCCAGGAGAGAAACCGAAATGTTCAGAAAATAAATATTAATGTGATACCGTTCCATATTCGTGTGTGCTATAGTGTTAGGCATGAGCATACGGTTACAACCGGAATTAAAGTATCACTGGAGGATTATGGGCACAGGGGGGTAGGAAAATGGACAGCGTCGTAAGGCATGTGCATCATCCGATGTACGTGTGGCCACATCTAAGCTGGCATGAACAGCAGAGGACAGTTACCGTGCGTTTTTTGAGAGAATATCGAGTATGATCAGATCGTTAGGATTTGAACATGGCGGACGGAAGTGCACTACTGAAAGTCCACTTCATCAGCCACCATCAGCTACCACACACATTCTTCCCTTTTTTCGTCTGAAGCGATTAAATACATACATAATGTAAAGAACATGTCACTTTCTGAATATCGCATTCACGACCAGCGCCTCTTTGCACCTTTTTACCATGCACGATTCGTTTTTGGGAGCCAATAGCTGTGACTAGGTGACTGGCTACCGTTATTCTCAATGTTCTGTTAATTTAACTTGGTAAACTCCAGTTAAACTACCTTCCCTATCCATTATCTCGGAGGCTGTTGCTGAGCAGTCTATCGTTTCTCCGCTATCCATGTTCAAATAAACCCCCTTTTGTCCTTAACAGAAATCCTATGATTGGATTTTCAAGCTGGGCTAAAAACTACCGCCGTCCTCTGTCTAAATCTCCATGTGATCGCCCGTTCCAACTATTCCAATGGCTTAGTTCCTTGCCCGCTGCCTGGACGGTTAAGTTTCCACCTACTTAAAAACAGGAATCTCCCTGACACTGGCACTACACCTTCTGCTCGACCGACGGTCAGTGCAAAAACAAGACAAGACGCTTATGGCCAACGGTAGCACTTCTCAGCACTGAATACTTACCGGGAAGAACACTAATA